AATTATATTTACAGTACATCTCACAGTACGCTTATGTGTTTCTGTATCCGATCAAAATACACAACTAAGAAAAATAATCTCACATGATAGATTTCACATTCTACATATTATGCTGCCCACTTTCAACAACGAAATCTAATAATTTTAAAAGCAACTACAAGATAAGAACATCAAAAATTGTAGTTTCATGTATGACCAACAATAAATAACTCTATATAACAATTTAAATGAAAATTCTTACTTCATCTATATACACACACGCCATACTTGCGACCCAATGCAAAAAGAAATATTTTTAATGACTGAAACTTAAAATCTACAGCGTCTTTCATCTTATCATTTGTGTCCTTATAATGTACCACAGAGGGTACCTATACACAACAATATCACATGTCAGGAGGTACAAAAATGGCGGGTTTTCCCTTTTTTTGCATGGGGTCGTTAAGTCCAACACATTTCATCAATAGCTTCTGACGTCGACCAAACTCGTGGGCAACTTGAACAATCCTTCTATGGCAAATAGTAAGTTGTAGATTTATGTAAAAAAAGATCGTGCAGCTAACAACTGGTATCGTATACTAGCTTTCCGTTACTCTAAAGTCGCAAGAAGCCTTCACGAGCAGGCAAACTGCATCATGCTTTTGGTATGGTCCGTTAGTTAAAAATGCAAAATGCGCCCATTTCTACTCAGTCATTGGTGGGACTTAAATTTTTAAAAAAGTTAAAATTGAATTTGGCAAGACCATTTAAACCTATGCCGAGCACGATGCCGGGTTTGCCTCCCCGTGATGGGCCTCCCCGCCCTGTCCGCATGCCTTGTGCAAGTGGCAATAACCGTTATGAAACCCGTGGAGCCATTTTAATGACGCCTCCTAATTGAGCAAGACCACAGATGGTGGAAGAAGGAGACGGAGGGTCCGTTTTTAGCGCAGTGTTGTTATGGCACAGTCCACGCGTCATAAACAATTAGCCAAAGAGCAAAAGGCGCGACCCGGCCAGACCCGGCCAGGCCCCACAGTCCCCGGTCCTGATCGGAAGGGTTTGGGTTTCACGCGGGTTGTTTAAATAAAGCTTTTGCTAGACTAAGCGAAGTAACGACCGCTGCACGCGAAAGAAAACCGCCGTGATTAAAACACGTTTTAATGACAAAAAATTACCAAGCGTGCGGCCGAGATTTTATGCGTCTACATAATAGAATAATTGTATGTTTTCATTAATGCTCATTGTTAAAACGACCGAATAAGCTGATCCCTATTAGAGGTAGGTAATGTACTTTTAGTGACTACGAAAAATGAGCGATATAATCATACAATACTCGGAAAACAATTATGTTTTCGCGCAAGACGCAAGCATTGAGCGAAAAATATTAAGAGGGACACTGACCCTTTACAAATCTTTTTTTGGTGTCCCCCGTTTTATTCTCGTGAGAGAATTTCCAAACTTCCATGAGGAAGAAAATTTTCAACATAACGTTGCGAAATGAGATTCATTCGGATTCATTGATTTCCATTTGGCAACGATAAGGGGGAATTCCCAGTCCCCGTAACTGCAGAGTTTTCTCATTCAAAATAACATAAAGTAAGGCAAGTGATATCGCTGATTCACTTCACACATAACAAAGCCAAAGAAAAATATGATAGGATTGCAGCAAGTAGGGAAAACGATGAAGGAAAGTTGAAACGAGTTTAAAATGAAGATGGACTTAACCTAGCTACATACTAACACAGCCATAATGACTTTGAATGCTTGCATTTTGCAAAACGTAAGTGTAAAATACTGAAATAATCCAGGCGCTCTTAAACATGAGGTCCTTTAAAATAAGCTTGAAATTAAAAGACCTAAAACGAAACAACAGCAATAGCAAAACGAGGTTGATGCTGTATTTTTGCTTTCACTCGCGGCCTTTGCCTACATCACAGCGAAAGGAATGTGCGACGGCCGCTTCCCTACCTTAGAACAATCGATTATGCGAAAAAACTCACCCGACCAGACCGTGCTTTTACACATCGTGTGTTTGAACGGCGTGGGGCATATCAAATAACAGTATTATCATTATTATTTTTTCATTTCTTTTTCGAGGGGTTCAGTCTTATGTGTAACGACTAGAGCTACTGAAAATGAGGAAAAAAGTGCCCCACCACATTCCACGACTTACACCATGTACCTCAAACTGCCGATAGTGATTCGACAGGCCACCAAAAACGGCTATCACACCCACATGTTTCTCTCAAGCCCAGACAGCATCAACCTGAGCAAACTTAATAGACAAGAAAAAGCGCCAACCAGAAACAAAATTTTTCGTCACACGCCACATCGTACAAAAAATTAAAGAGGAAGGGAAAGAAAAACAAATCATATCCAACACCGCGGTGACAGGCAGTGGTAGGCGGACCGGGCGCGGCGCGGCGCTCGTGGCGCCACAACGGCGGTGGTCCGTGCGCCCTCGGCAGAGGACGTCATCGGGGAGCCTGGGACGCGTTCACAGTGGATGGCGTCTTGAGGGATGCCCCGGGAGGCGCCCCTGTTGCCTTGGAGAAGGCGTCATCGGGGTACCCAAGGTGGCGTCAGCCGGCCCCGTGCCCGCGCATCCTGGAGGGGGCGGGAGGGCGGCGCACTGGGGGGCGACTCGCTCAGGGCGTGGCCCCCCCGTTCTGCTGGCCGCCCTGCTGCGCCGGGACGCCGTTCTGCTGGAGCGCCGCGACGTCGCAGGGCTTGGGGGCGAGCAGCAGCTGCTCGAGCGTCTCCTGTGTGGCGTTGGCTTTCAGGATGGAGTTCTCCAGCTCCAGCTTGTTGATGCGGTCCATCAGCTCGGCGATCTTGTCCTTGAGCACCTCCACCTCCTCACGCACCGCGAACATGAGGTGGCTCTTGACGAGGTCCTGGAAGGGAAGCAACACGCTTAGTAAACAACCGACCAAACAAGGCGGGTCTCCTCCGAGCACCCTGCGCCCTGCGCCATGACAGCACACTCACCATGGCTTGCTCGATCTTGTTGTCGATCGCGACCGCGCTAGCTCCCGAAGCACTGCAACACAAAGAGAAAACAGTCCGTAAGCTTCAAGTCTAACTTTGGCCGTAGCGCAGGAGCGTCCCTGCAGAGCCAGCGGCATGCGCGCGCGCGCGCGCTCGCTGACAGCCGCCCGAGATCCAATTTCTCTTGCGCCCCTTTGCCAAATTGCGTTAGGCGTGACGGATCGCCCCACCGCACCGCTCTGGCAAGTACACAACCATGCCTGAGCGAGCAGCAGGTCCCCTAGAGCCGCAGAGCAGCCCCGCACTCCTCGCGGCTGCTGTGCTCCGGGCCAGGGGGGGAGCGGAGGGGGAGGGGGGGCTGACCTTCGGGCTCACCTCCAGTACGGCGCCACGGCGACCTCGGGTCATCAACCCGGCTAGCCTGCTCAAAGCAGAACAATAACGCGGAGCGCCGCGGCCCGTCAGCGGCGCAGCCGACTCATACGGGCACAGCAGCAGCAGCAGACAGTCAGTCAAGGACGAGGCGAGGCGTCCCTCCCGGTCAGGAGGTGAGGGCCACGCGCACTGCGAACAGCTACGGCTACGGCCTCACGCACGCCGCAAGCCCGGCTATTCCCAGCGCAGTTGGGCTGGGGTAGGTCTCGCCCGCCTATAGCCCGCCTGCCTGGACACTGACACGGTGCAGGCCGGAATATTTACACGCTCGCGCATGCTGCCCATGCTGCCCGAGGCCGAGCTCTCTCTCTCTCTCTCTCTCTCTCTCTCTCTCTCTCTCT